CTCCGCCGCTGCCGCTGCCGCCGCCGCTGCTGCTCCTGCTGGGGCCGCCGCAGCCGTTGCCGCCGCCGCTGCCGCCGCTTCTGGGCGGGGAACGGAGGCCAAAAAGAGTCCCGTGCCGGGGCAGAGGGCACAGACGACGCGCCTTGGGGAGGGGGCCGTCCTGGGGGCGGGGGCAGGCGGGGGGGGGTGGAGCCCCCGACGGTCGGGAGGGGGTTAGAGCTGGGACGACTAGGCAGGAGGTCGAGGTGCTGGGAGAAGGGGGGGGGTTCCGCGACGAGCCTCGTGGGCTTGGCTCCTCGAGGTTCAGCTTCCGGACAGAGCCCTACAGGGGCGCCCAGAGGCCTGAGAAGGGATAGGGAGGTGAACTGGCTGGTGGATGGGCCCCTCCTTGCTGGGGTCCCGCCGAGAGGAAGGCTGGGCCAGAGGGATGTCCGGGGCAAGGCTGGGAGGAGCCGATCGCACCAGGGCTGGGGATTTCGCGTTATGGAGGTGCCGGAGATCATTGTAGGCAAAGATGTGGTCGAAGGGAAAGGCGGGAGGGAGGCACACCGCAAACCTGGGAGGCCACAGGCCAGTGGGGGTGCCCTTCTATTTCTCTGGAATCTCCCCGTTCCCCTGTAGAAACACTATGTTTTTGTTTTATTGTTATGAAATTCTCGGTGTTGGCTGATTAAAACTGTGACGTGGTGATACTTAACTCATTCTTGGTATTTCCTACAGTAGACTGTAAGGACAGCGATTTGGTGAGCACACGTCTAGCCCAGGCTTTAGGGATTCTTTACGGAAGTGTGGGAAGGGGTCCTGGACTTCAGGGATGCAGCTGAATACTGGAAGGCACTTTGGAGGTCGACTCCCTGACCCAGAGGTGGAGCAGAGTTACAGAAATCTTTGGTGAGACTTCTAGGGTGTACTTACAGGTTACACTAGTTAGCCCCATGGTTCTTTCAAGTTAAGAGGTAATTTCTCAAAATCACACTGCTGAAACGTTTTACAGGGAAATAACCGGGAAATGCATTTGGAGGTGGAAAGGAATTAGGTTGATAATAAAATTTCAAGGATGAAAGGAAACTTTAAAGGTCATCTAGTTCTCTGCTTATCTGGGAGCTTTATTGTGGGAGAAATGGTAGATTTGCACCATGGAGGAAGTTTAGGACAGAGTTTAGGGAACAGAAGTTAAATGGTGATGTCAGTATGTGGTGAATACATTGGGAAGATCCTATGGAGATGGAATGGGATAATCTTAATCTAATTCTGAGAATCACCCAGAAGCTCCAAATAGAAGCGAAAGATTGAGGAGAAATTGGTAAAATTTTGATGAAGAAGCAAAGTTGGAAGGAAAGACTGGTGGAGCTCTGGAGGAGCTGGAAGGAGCAGAGTTAAGAGTACCTGAAAGTTGATAAGAGAATTTAGGAGAGACAGGATATTGATAGGCCTTTCTTAATAGGAAGACTGGGACAGCTGCATATGGGGTGGACTTTGGAATGAGAGTCCTGGCCCTTGGTGCACAGAGCCTTACTAAAATTGACTTTGAAAGGACTGAACCTATTGCCAGTTTTGCAACAGTAGTAGATAGGGTTCTTTTTTGGTTCTGGCTCTCAGAAGGTGAGGACTGGCTAGTCATTGAGAGCGGAAGGGGAAGAGATGCTAGTGTCTTGGGTATAGAGGCCAGTTCTTTATGATAGGGCAATAAGGGAGGCTGGCTGATTGTTATGATAGGGCAGAGGAAACTAAGGCCCTGGCAAATTGTGCTGTTGAGATCTGAATTGGATAGAGCAAAAGAGATTTCTGGAAGACATGGTGGCTCTACCAAGGGCAGTAACATGGATCTGGCTATTTTGATTTGGCAGGAAAAAGTAGGGAGAGGGGAGGATCTCTTTCTTCTTCTCTGGCCTGGGTGATCTTAGGCAGTAATGGGTCGTTGAAACCTCTAGTACAGGTAGCAGAATTTTGTGGTGTGATTAGTCTGAATAATGGCTTGAAGGAAGGGCCTCTTTGAGAGAAACAAAATCATGGGAGGAGAAGACTTTAACACTAGAAAGAAGGGAGACAAAAAGAAGTGAGGAAGAGGGTTGGTTGGGCAGTGAAGGGCGATCAAGGATCTTGTATTAAGGCCAGTAAAGGGGGGGGGGGAATGGCACCTGGAAATCTCCATGATAGTGTTTTTTAGATAAAACTTTGCTTAGAGCTCTTTACACTTGCTGCTGGAATCACTAAGGTTGGGGTAAGAGAGAAGATCTTGGATAAAAGTAGGGTTGAGGAGAAACTGGCACTTGGGAAATGATATGAATGTTTACCCATAAGGAAATAGAGAACTTAGAAATAGTGTACGGATTATAACATATACAACATGAAAGCAAAAGTGAGGAATAAAGAGCCAAAGGAGGAAGACATTTACTCAGGTGTCTTTCGGAGCTGGTGTTGGGGAATATAAAAACTCACCTTTGATACCCACTGCTCGGGATGGCCCAGGCAGCAGGATAGTTGGGGTCCAGGGCTTGTAAGTCTGAGCATTCACTAGAAAATCAAGACTAATGTAAAGATACTGGATGGAGGAAGGGATTCACTGTCCTAAATAGAATGGCCTTGAAAGAAGGATAAAGTGGGAATACACTAGTTTTTCCAGTCTGCATGTAGGAGGGGTTCTAGATACTGTATAAGGAGGTAAGGGATAGAAATTCTGGAGTGAAATAGGTTAAAGAACAGGGGCATGAGAGCCTTGGGCCAGAATTGAAAGGTGGAGCAGGGGCATAGAGGAAATGTTCCAGTCAGGTTTGGTCTGGATGACGTTTGCAGTGGCTCATTGATTCTAAGCTGAACTAAGTTAGCAATGGAGTAGAATAGCCATAGGCAGTAGAGAGCTGTTTTCCAGAGCCCATCAGCCTAAGATTTCAGCAAAGTAATTTTGTGGTTGAGTTTGGGTGGAAAAGTGAACACTAGAGGAGAATGGAGAGAGAGTGCAAGGGAAAGTAAAAATTGCTGAGATAAAATAGAAAGGAAAAGCCACTGATGATACTCTGAGGGAGAGAGAAGACTTTAGACCTTGAGGTTTCAGAAGAAAGGAAATTTTTTAATACTGGAGTTCAAAATCACTGAGTCCATGCTTAGCAGAATTGCATCCGGACAACCGGAAAGGGTGGAAATAAAGCAATCTACTTTTCTGCCACTAGGATGCTCGAACAATATTTTAAATGATCTCACATATGAATTGGACTTTATTAATGGTAGTTTTTGAATGATCATTCTGAAAATAATGTAGAAACTGTCCTCTTTCCAAAGCATACCCTTTTTCACTGTTCCTGATATAAAACCAATCTAAGACAAAAACTTTCTTTGTTGAACTGAAGTTTGCCTTCTGCTTCTAGAGCAATATTTAACTCTGTTTCTAGAGTTAATTCAAATAAGTTGGTTCAGCTCCCTCTATTTTTTTTAAAAGTAGAATCTACTCTTCTCTCATAAAACATTTAGAAATGGATTATCTTTTCAAAAGTAACTGCGAGATGCATGTCAAGGTCATATTTTCATTGGTCAATGAATTAGGATGAATTTGAGTAGAG